GAGTAGTTGTTCATCGGGGTTTCCGAAGAATCCACCAACATCAGCTCCTGTGAGATTAAGGGTTAGTTCTGGGATTATTGAGTCAACCAATATTTTAAAATGCTCAAACCACAAACTGGAGTAAACAAGAAGAAGTATGGGTCTGCAAAAGCACTCACCAACGAACGGTACACCAGCAACTGACAACGAAAGCAGCATAGGAGTCGAAATCGCTAAATGTCCCCACTCAGCAGTGTTGTCGCCGGTCCAAATTGCAGCAGTTCGTTGGGTTCCCACAAAACCAGATCTCAAAAGGAAAGAATACCATGTTTGCTCCAAAATTTACAGACTAGGTAAGGGATGTATCTAAACCAAGCAGACGCTGCTCGGCTTGGAGGGGCCATTTGGTACTCATGCTGGTAATTTCAAGTAACAGGTGAGTCTCTGTGAAGCGGCGAAATGAAACAAGTGAGACATTTTCGTTAAAAGAATTCAGTGGTCTTCTGGTTGCCTAAACAAGCTTCGCTGAGTACCATTTGGTCCCCTTCCCCAAGCCGGACTGCGCCTGCTTTCTTGGTTCTGATGAGCAGAAGGTCGCGACTTTCCAGAAAAGAAATTTTCAATTTTGAAGGAGCAGTTGGCAGACCAAATACGCTCCCCTCCTCCCGCAGAGGATCCCGCTCCCCTCCTCCCGCAGAGGAGAAGGCAGGAAAGCACAAGTCGAAATGACGTACCGGGACAGTATGAAGGGCCGGTCCTTCCCACCAGTACGTTGCAGCTGACCTTGGAAAGTTGTCGCATGTTGCAAAAAGCCATACATGTTATGTAACTAAACAAAATTGATCAATAAAATCAATGAAGCATGCTTTTAACGCTTAGGTCAATTAAGTATAGAAAACTAGAAACTCACTTCTCGATGCTCTATGCCACCAAAGTGAAGGGCGTCCTTGTCCATGGTTACCTCTGGCCCACTGAATACCTAAATAACTACAGAACTGATCCCTTTATAACCTGGCCTGCTACAAACATGGCACGTCGTACATCGGGGATCCTCTGCGGGAGGAGGGGAGCGTATTTGGTCACTGGGGGATGGGGTCATAACTGTCTCTGAGGACCCCCCCCCCATCTCGGCGGCGGTTTTATGGGGAAAAAAGGAGCAATTTCTGAAGAAAAAAAAACAGCGAAAATGTGGCAGAATGTTGAGGATAGCAAGAAGATGGTACGTAAAATGGAGGTGGGGAAGGGGGAAGGGTTTCGTACCAGAGGAACAGATTCGGAGGGAGGTCATATTGTGAAAATCCTCCACCAAAGGCATGGCACAACCTGATTGCAGGTCATGGCACAACCTGATTGTAGGTCGAGAAAATGCTGAAAAGGCGAGTACAAAGGCAAAATTTGCCATTTATAAGCCCCACTTTCCGCGATTTGGGTTCATTTTTCTCGGAATTTGTCTCGAAGATAAACGCGACCAGAAATTTCCAGGGCTAGCTTTGCGCTGAAGACAACCAAAATATCTACTTCGCGCAAGAATGATTGCATTTAGCGGTCAAGCTACCCTCACAGACAAAGTTTTTTGGCATGTCTCCCTCGGATAACCATTGAAGGAAATCTGGCGCTGTCCCCCTTGAGAGGGACATTTTGCACATCACGTCACCCTTCTGTGAGACACTCAGACTTCCGTTAAAAGTAAACAAAGCTCGTGCTATCCCATAGCTTTACAGGAATTTACAGGTCCTCATAGGGAGAATCGGCAGTATCGATGGGAATCAGCAAAATGTCCCTTCCAAGCCAAACTTCGTCAAAACCCATGTTGGGCTTCAAAAAAGGGATACTTAAAGATAAGCGATGCCGTAGGAGATTTAAAAAAACCAACCGATGGTTCATTCATGTCGTTCCAAGTAAAAAGCTGAGGAGTGGATCCAATATATCGGTCAAACGCAAACTGTTCGGCCCAATATTTTCGAGTCTAAATGGGTGTAATCGATAACTGCAAAAAGGACTTGAGTAAAGGATCTCCTCAAGTCTCATAGCATAATAGATGAAAGTCATTAAGAAAATACCTCAGGATTCATGAAATCCAGATAGGCACTCGCACCTGGCCAGCAATGACCTTCAAAGTCAGTCTGACCATCAGCCTTCTTCACATACAAACCCAGGTCCTTAGCGCCTTTGTAAATAGGGTAATTATCATCTTTTTTGATATGTGGATCGATGATGGTCACCATTTTACGTCCCTGAAATATGGAACTTCCATGTCTTACGGAAGGTTCCTCCGAGTAAATATAATCTTGTTCGTTGCGGATGAAGGAGCGTGTCGTAAGGCTCGGTTTGGCGCTGTCGGTTCTTCTCCGTTTTAGAAGCGGATTAGCGGCAACAACTGTCGCAAAGCGACTGATACGAACGTTATGCCACAGTCTTGTAGCTCACAAAAAAATGCACTGGCACCGCGCCAAGCCCACCGCCCCTCCCTCCTTGACACGTCCCATTATTATTATCAAGCCTACCTTGGCCGCAACGCCATCGATCATCTCCTTCGGATGAGCAAACTTATGAGGCTCCCACGTGAAGTACTTCTTGCCATCGGTGTGTTCAATATCCAACCATATCACATCCAATAGAATAGTCACAGAGGAAGTATTCGTACACATCAAACTTCTCGTTCACCTTCAAGCAATCAATAATCATTCACATTTAATCAATAACCGCACGCACGCAATCGATATGATTGCGTCAATTTTTGTCACGAGACATTATAGGTTGGCTTACTCGAAGGAGGAGGGGTGTCAGAAGTGTGACAATCACCACTTGTATGAAAAATTGAAATGTGCGCGATCGCAGGAGTCACGGAAGAACTTTAGCAAAAGAGGACGCAGACGCCAGCATAAACACAGCAGCGGTTTGGCAGTAAGGAGGGTCAGGGCACGTCCAGGAATTCTCGCAGAAGACGAAATCCCCTTCAAATGTACTACTCTGGTCCCTTCTGCATCCTGCCCACCACCTTACTTCTTTTCCAAACTTCCTACCACTTTCCCGCGACCTCGTAAATTTTGCAGTTTCGCGGTGGTAGGGGAGGGGGGGAATTATAACACATGCATGTTAACCCAGAAAAATCGCGGAAAGTCAACCATCACAAATGCTACCTCCCCCCATGTTGGAAGATTTTTTAAGGCCAGATACGATGTTCCTTTCAAAGCCACGGGCGAATAGGACCCCTTCCCCAAATGAAAGCCTAACAACGATGTGATCGGCGCGCGTAAACTGAAAAGTCAATCATCGGAAAATCTCGAGCCAAATACGACCCTGCTCTCCAATACGACCACAAACGGGATCCCCGCTGGGAATTCGACAGCGTAAAAGGTGCCTCTATGTGGGTTCAAACAGTCCCCAGACCTGCCAGCTGTCAGCAAAATGTACGGGTCAAAAAGAAACCCACATACCTGAGCCACATCCTCCTCATCGTTATAATTCCATCGACTTTGATGGTAAGCGATAGAGAACAGTGGCGGAAGAGGGGTCACCTGCAACTTCTTGGTTGTGGAACCTGACAATAAGACTCTAATAAAGTAAGAAACACACTCATTAAGAACAGAAGTAATCTCCAACAAGTAAGTACTTACACCAATGAGACGCGATAGCTGCCTTTGAACGTCTTGTGGTGTAGGTCCTCCGAAGAAAAATATATCGATAAGGCCAGTTTCAGACATAAAATGGGCGTCGAAATGTGGTACTTCATCTTTTGGCATCACCTAGAAATTCCATGCATTTTGGGGACCATGCTGCGAATCGAGTCATGAAGAAAAATGGAGGTAAGCTAGCCAATTTCCTACAACCAACCCACTTTGTCCAAAACGCTACGGAAGAACCCTTTGGCGGAGACGGATGAGCTGGTGTCAATCCATGTTTCGGCAGC